AACCCCACGAGTCAGAGCTTTGCTGGATGCCCTGGCAAAAGGCTCCCTTCCTCTGCGGGCACCAGGCCCTGGGAAGCAGCAGAGGTGTTTCCCACTGAGAGATGGAAAAACATTGTCTGCCATTCCCAGGGAGCATTAACTGCATTGTCAGAGCTGAGGTCTCCAGGCAGGTAGGCATGTGAGGCCTTCCTGCCTCATGCCAACTGTCCATGTGAGGTTGGGCCCAGCCCCTGATGAGCACCTGCCTCTCCCATACCTGGAGGAGTTGACCGCTAAAGGTGAGCAGGGACATATATGTGTGTGCAAACATGCAAACAAACAGTTAGACAAAACACCTCTGAGACCCCTTCGGGATCCTGCAGCTACATCTGATATCCAGAAACAGTGCTGGAAAATTTTATGGCAGAAGGAAGGGCTTCTCAGTAAGGGTGGTGAAGGCTTGACTCAGGCTGTGCATTCTTGACATATTCCTGCTCTAGCTCTTGTCCTGGATAGGGAAAATAGGATCAATGCCCTCTTCCAGAGCCCGTTGGGTATCTTCTAAGCCCCCTTGTCTAGCATGACTGCCTGTTTTACCATTGTTGAACTGCATGCAGACACCTGAAAAGACACAGAAGGATTTTGGAGTGCCACAGTGGGGAAGAGCAAAAGGAGGGAATGAGCAGAGGTGGACTGAGCTTATAGCTGGGCCCTGCTGTGGGATGGCAGAATTTAAATCAGAGGGTCTCTGGACCAAACCACTTATCTCAAGGAGCACAGCCTGGTTCTTGGGACAGTTTTGCCCTTGCCATGGCAAGGGTGGTGACTGCTGTGCTCAAAGGTGAGAGCAGAGGGCTGGGGCAGGCAGCCTCTAGAGCAGAGCTGGGAGGAACAGGGATGCTCAGACATGCGGCCATGAGTGACGTGATGGTTTCAGCCTACCCACACAGCATGGGTGGGGACAGGGGTCCCAGCTCTATCCCAGAGGGCAGGGGGGCCAGGGCAGGCATGTGCTGGTGCTGGCCAGCACAGCCATGCCCCCAGGGTGCCTTAACCTGAGCTCTTTGCATTGGCAGTATGTGAGTGAGCAGCTCCAGGCGCACAAGCAGTTGGTCGTATCCACCTGCTCCGTGGCGGACATCCAGGCAGCCTTCAACACCACTGTCTCCCGCATCCAGCGATAGTGAGTACAGCTTGGGCTCAGCCTGGTGGCACCATATGAATTCAGAGAAGGGCTCAGTATGGCCGTGGCTCCCCAGGGCTCATTAGGACCCTTTGGGGTTGTGGACATTACTGTAGAAACAAGTGTAGACCTGGGGAAAGTGGGGGATCCCAGCATCCCAGTGCTGCTTTTGCCCCTGGCAGCACACAGCAAGCTGGAAATTCTCAGCGATGGGATTCTGTCAGTTGGCCTGGCAGGGCATGTCCCCTGGCCCACCTGTTGAGCCACTGCACATCCTTCATGGTCTTCTTTTCTCTCCCTTTGGCAGCTGTAACTGTAACTCTCATATGCCTCCCCCGGTGAAGGTGGTGGTGGCAGGGGACCAGAGCTACCTGAGTGTTGTCCTCCGTTTCTTTGTGGAGCAACTGGCCAGCAAGACACCCGACTGGCTCAACTACCTTCGCTTTCTTCTTGTGCCACTGGGTGAGAGCCACTGTGAGCCTGGTCCCAGGGCTGTCCTCTCCTACCTCCCCAGACTCCCCTGCCTGGAGCCAATGCTGCCCTTCTTACCCACAGGCTCTCACCCTCTGGCCAAGTACCTGGCCTCGGTGGATAACAAATACAGCACTCTCTTCCTGGACACAGCATGGCGGGAGCTGTTCAGCAGGGCTGAGCCACCCACCGCAGGTGAGGAGCAGGGCAGGGTGGCATCAGCAGTGCCCTGATGGTGAGCCCAGCTGCCACTGAGGCCCTCACGGCTCTTTGTGCCCACAGACACTGTGGACATTGCAGGCCGTGTTGCCCAGTTCATCGCTGGAGCCAGTCTCTCTCACCAGCTTCCCATCTCTGAGGCCATGCTGACATACAAGCAGAAGAGGTGAGCGTGTCCCCAGGGCACTTGTCCTCCCTCATGTGGCCCCAGTCTGGGCTGTGCTCAGGACAGGGATGTGGGACATGGGACGAGTGAGGCTCGGCATTCCGCTGACGAGTGGCGTGGTGCTGAGGGGAGCTGGGGTTCCACAGTGAGAGCAGCACCATTCCCTGCCACCTCCCGGTGTGCTTGGCCCCTCCAGTAGCTGTGGCTGTGACAGTCCCAGTGGTGGGGACCAGCTGCCAGGACTGGGATGGGCTGGGTGGGGGCTGCAAGCTGGTATTGTGCAGCCCGGGGGTTGACGCTCATGTTCCAGCTGCACTCTCACCTCTCCCTTCTCTTGGTTTCTGGCACTCAAGGAAGAGAAGTCTCTATTTTGATTTTTATATCAGGTATTGGCTTGTGCTTGCTGTGCCGCTGCCTGGCCCCCCCACCTTCCCCCATGTGCGTCCATCCCTCTTGCTGTGCAGAGGAGCCATGACCCCAAAGTGGGGCAGGGCTGCCCTCCCGCATGCAAGCCCTTTCCCAGCACTGGAGGGGACAACTCCTTGCCTCCTTGTGTAGTGTGCCCTGTGCTGCCATGTTGGGGACAGGGGGTCCCATGGGAGGGAGGGCAGAGGAGACTGTGCCAGTGGCTGTGAGCCAGCATTGACCCCTGCCAGTGCAGGGGTGCCTGGGCACAAGGATAGTCACATGGCACTCGGTGCTCAGCACACCCAAACCCTGACCAGCCTCTCTTCCTTCTCCAGCCCCGACGAGGACTCCTGCCAGAAGTTTGTCCCCTTTGTGGGGGTGAGTGTTTTGAGGGGCCAGCAGGCCATTGGGGCTGAGGAGAAAGGGGCAGCACACAGCCCTGCTGATGCTGGCTGTCCTCTGACTCATCTGTCCTTGCAGGTGGTGAAGGTGGGCCTGGTGGAGCAGTCATTCAGTGCCTCTGGTGAGTCCTTGGGAGCCCACAGTCCCCAGCTCTCTTCTCCACTGTGGGAGGCCCTTGCTGGGGTCCCCCAACCCCCACAACCCACACTCTTCCTTCACAGTGGACTCGGATGATGCCACAGTCTGTACCCCCTCGCTGCTGAGCTCAGTGCCAGCCACCAGTGGAGCAGCTCCCTATGGCAAGGAGACCGTGAGCACTCCGCCACCCTCCCCATCTGTCAGCAGCGGCCTCTCGGGTGCTGGGTAAGAAGGCAAGCTGTGCTCAGGCTGAGGCAGCAGGGGCTGGGGTAGGAGCGTTATTGGTGCTCCCAGGGAAGGCTGCAGCTGGGCAATTGGGAAGGAGCACGGGCAGCACCTGTGTGCTACATGGTGCTGCCCATCTTGCCCAGGTCTCTGAGCCCTGGTGTGGAGGTAATGGGCCTGCAGGTGGACTACTGGACAACACAAGGGCTGGACAGGAAGAAGGAGGGTGACAAGCGGGAGACGGGTATCAAGAACACACTCAAGAGCAACTTCCGCTCACTCCAGGTCAGCCGCATCCCTGGCACAGGGGAACTGGTGCCCCCCAGCACCATGGCCATGACTGTGGTCACCAAGGAGAAAAACAAGAAAGGTAACCAAGCCCACTCTGGGTGCTCTCTGGCTGTGGGGCCACAAGCCTTTGCAAAAAGGGTGGGAGGGAGGACAGGGCTGAGAGCTGGCCCAGGAGGGCCCAGTCAATGAGCCAGCCCTGGGGCAAGGGCTCCCACCCAGCGCCAGGTGGGGACATCCTAACATTGGTCTTGTCTGGCCTTGGCTCCCAGTGATGTTCCTGAGCAAGAAACCTAAAGAAAAGGACTTGGAACCCAAAAGCCAAGTCATCGAAGGGATCACACGCCTCATCTGCACGGCCAAGCACCAGAACACCATGTTGCGAGGTGAGGGGAGGTATAAGCCATTTGGGGCTGTAGGGGGGCAGACCAAGCAGCACAGGCTGGCTGTGGCAGGGCTGTGCCTCACTGCATCCTCTCCTCTCAGTCTCCATAGATGGGGTGGAGTGGAACGATGTGAAGTTTTTCCAGCTGGCAGCACAGTGGCCAACACACGTGAAGTACCTCCCTGTGGGTATCTTTGGCTACTCGAAGAGTGTGTGATACATGGGGACATCCCTGGAATGGAGCTGCAGTGGGTTGCAAGAAGAGACAGAGAAATGGACATGCTCTTGTCCCCATCTTCTGTGGCCAGTCCCTGCCTGCTCTGTGGAGGGGGGATACCACACCCCCACCCTGTGGGCCAAGACCCGTGAAGGTGAGGCCAGTGAGACTGGGTCCACGCACCCTCCAACACCAGCCAGGGCACCGTGCCATCTGCCTCCCATGACCCCCAACAGCAGCCTGGGACAAGGGTTGGCACCAGCCAGCAGGGCCCCAGGAAGGGCTCTGGGCCTCATTCTCCACAGATGCACCTCCCAGGCCACCCCTGCAGCCAGCCAGGGCCCCAGCTGGGCTGGGCCCGGGCAGGTTCCCCAGCGCTGCAGCCACCCAGACTGCTCTGCAGGGGGTATGTGCTGAGCAGGGCCCGCCACCCCTGTACCGCCCCTTGCCAGCCCCACTGCCAGCCTCATGCTGCTGTGCCTGGCCATGCCCTCTGCAGCAGAGCCTCAGCAGCTTTTCCAGTCCCCCTGCAGCCCTGCTGCTGAGGCTGTCCTCTTCATTTCCCCATCCCTTCCCAACCAGCCCTACCCCAGGGTGCTGCCAGCTGGAGGTGTGGCATGAGGGCACCTGGGTTTTTTTTTTTACAAGATTCTATTTTTTTTAAATTTATTGTACGGTTACTTTTCAGGATTAATTTTAATAAATTAATGCTGGTACCATTATGGCAGGGGGTGTGTGTGTCCCCATGTCTGAGGGCATGACTGAGCACAGCTGGGGGAGAATAAATGTGGGCAGGGTGCAGCTACTACCCCCGCTCTAGCAAGCACAGCAGTCAGGGCTGCCTGAGCACAGCAACGTGGCCTCACCACACTCCCAGCCATGAGCCAGCAGAGCTCTCTGACAGACTATGAACCGGGACTGGATGGCACTTGGCTCATTTATTTAAATAGAACCCACAAGGAAGAAACAGACTGGACCCAGCCTGAGTCCTCCCAACCAGGTCCTCATCTACCTGAATGTGGAAAACGTCTTTCTCTTTTCGGCAGAGGCCAGGCTTGATGCCATCTTGATCTCTACAGTCTGGAAGGCAACCTGTGGCTGGACCTGGGAAGTGGGGGGTGTTGTGGGTTCAGCAGAGATGTATTCCAAGACATGAGGCCTCCCCTCCTGGCGCCGGAGATAGCCCTGGTTCAACAGATGCAGGATGCAGGACAGCACGTCCACGCTGTGGCAGCAGAAGCTCAGGAACTGCACACCTGGCCCCAGTTCGCCCTTCTGACAGGCATCAATCACCTATGGCAGCAAGGGAGCCCCACACTGCAGTGTGCCACAGCACCCACGCAGCCCCTCTCTGCCCCCCAGGACCTCCGTACCCTGAACACCAGGTTGTCGACGTGGAGCTGCTTCTCCACCTTGAGGATGCGGGTGATGAGGCAGCAGAGGACGTTCCTCTTCCTTTCCAGGGCGCTCACCTCAGCCCTCTCCATCTGCAGGTACCTCTGCTGGGGCAGCAGCCTCAGGTGGCGGCCAGAGGCCTGGGCCAGGGCTGCCTGGTTCAGCCGCAGTGCACCTGGAGCCAGCACCCAACCCAGGGTCAGCCAAGCCTCCAGCAGGGACTTGAAGGAGCCCCAGGACACATGTGTGGCTGCTGGACCCAACCTGGGCCTCCCCCTGCTGCCCCCACAGTTGGCCGCCACAGCCCTGTCCCCC